TGACATTTGTTTTATTATATGACCTGTTTTTGATGTTTGACATTTTAAAAGTAAATTAGGCCGATAGAGGGCATTGATTTATTTAATTAACAAAATAATTTCTACTTCTCTGTTTACTGCAGTCATTCCTTTAGTTAAACTCATCTGTGGGGATGGAATACCCAGGCACAGTGTTATGATGTAGCCAGCAGATGAAGCCGTTCAAATGAAATCTTAACTTGCCTTTTCTGTATAGAGAGTATCTTGAATCAGACAGTTGACCTAATGAGTATTTTTTAAAGTGTTGTAAAATGCTTATTAAATATAAATATATTTGTATCCATTTGTGGTTCTGTTTGCGCTCAATGCCCATAGTAGGCATGACTATTGTCAAGAAGCATTTTCAAACTCCTAGGTCAAGAGTCTATTGCCATGTAAAACTATCTATATTTGTTTACAGTGTACTCCAGGAACAAAAAAATGGCCAGCTTTAGTCAAACATTGTAGCTAAAGGGCTAAGGTAATAACAAAGTAATATACAGTGTTTCTAAAGTGAAAAGAGGAAGAGCATGTTATTTTTTTAGTGTAATAAATTTATGTTTAATGAGCAGGACTTGTTTAGTGTCTGAGGTGTTAAATGTAACATTAAGAAGAAAACCTTTATACTTTTATAAAGAGGGATACCTTATTATTATTATTATTATTTTATTTTATTTATTTATTTTTATTGGGGTAGGCATACTTCTTTTATAGGACAAATTGAAATTAGGTTTGCAGATGTGTTTAAAGAGTAAATACATATCTGAATGAATATTAGTTCTGAGGTTATATAACTGCAATAAAAAATTAAGTGAATATTTAAAAAATGGGTACAAAAGAGTTCATTAATTTTGTGATACTCCAAGGTACATTAATAAACAAGAAATGTGTGAGAGTAAAGGAATTAAAAAAGAAGAAAAAATAATGTTAGTCCCTTATAACAGAGGTGACAGTTCCTATTGTAACACATTTATAAACTTTGAAAAATATTACCAAAATACATATAATTTAGTCAAGTAAGATTTTTAAGGTGTTATTTATTTATTTATTTTATTAAGTTGGATGGGAAAGTAGATAGTCCATGTAGCTTCTTTGTAAAGGGTTGAATGTGGATTTTTTTAAAGCTTGAATGAGAAAATAAAACTGAAGTGCATTCTTGCCCTTGAGAATTATAATAATAATAATATACAATTAACTTGCAAAGGAAGGTTACATTTCAGACAATTTATTTACTGACTAAAAGTTGATGAATATTGAACCTAGTAAATACCATATGAAGAAAAGGTTGAGAAGTATAGGGTTCATGCTATATATTATAGTTTATGGATACACTCTTTCAAGGACAAGTTCTTGTTAACTCCTTATTAACCTTTACTCTTTGCTAGGTAAACTAGCATCCATGACAAAATCTGCACTGATCCAGCTATAGACAACACTCATGTTGTTATTATCAGGTGTATCTTATAAGCTATGGGTCCAATTTGTCGCAAAAGCATATCCATTCAGATTATTGATGAACTAAATTGCTTTGTGATTAAGTTGTTATTCACATACTTTGGATACAGATGGGAACTAACAGTTTTCAGTGAATGGTTATAATTGACTGATCTGTGCATGGGTAATTTAAGTCACATGTATTAATCTATATGCAAAGCTATATTACATCTTTTGAAAGTAAGTGTTCGTGTGTCCAAATATCTCTGATGAACATGCAGTATATGTTTCGTTCAGTTCTGCTGTACTGAGTTTGTGGTTCACCCGTACCTTGGACTTCAGCCCATGCCTTAACGAATTATGCATGGTCTTTTCTCCTCCTTTCTGTTTTCTTCTCTTCATCACCTCCTCCTTCTGTCCACTTATCCTAATCGTTAATTCATGTTTACTCTTTTCACTACAATACTTTACCATTGTGCTATATGACATTTGATGTGTAGCACATTTATTCGTTTTAACCATTAACCATCTCAATCCGCTCAGCTGCCTATTCGAGAAAGCGATATAACGGTGGTAAAACTTTCGATTGAGTGTAAATTCAAAATGGCGAGTTCACTTTGTGTGCATGAGGATGTTTATTATACCTATAGTCCCTACCCCCACACTAATCCCTTGTTTGTTGTTGTCGTGGGGGCTTAAAGAGTAACCACTAAGCTTGTGCACAACTTTGCATTTTTTCTTTGCTGAGATACTACTTTTTCAAAAGCAACTTGTTGCAAAAAAAAATATTGTCTAAAAATATAGTTTTGAAGCATTTTTTTACCAAAATATGCGTCGATTGCTAATTTACACATTAAAATACTGTTCACAGCGCCATCTCTTGGAATTAGTTGCGATGACGTCATGAGTTGTGTTAGTGTCAGTGTTGTTTATTATGGCTTTTGCGTGTTCTTCATCATCCAGTGTTGATAGCTTTTCAAGTTCGTCTTTTGATGGTAGTCTGGACTCTATAAACATTTCCGATAATAGTGAAGATGTATGGCATGTTTGGCAAGACGGTGTTGTGCTTGGTTACCAATTTGAGCCTGAATATTTGTCTGAAGAGGAGCTCTTGGAGTCCGTGGCCTTTCAGCCACCAGAGAACTATTGGTTAGAACAGCGAATGGACTATACTGACTGGTAGGTCTCAGTTTTTTTACACACCTTCTCTCATGTCTCTAACGTTAGTTTAGTAGGGTATTCTGAGGTACTATTGATGAGTCTATATGGTGTCTAGGCTCGCCATCGCTCAACATGATGCGAAATGCAGTTTAGCCTACACTGTAAACAAAACGTCCAATCTATGTACAGGGCATGCAGGGTGCACTGCATGCTTCCAGTGTGACTGGCCATATTAATTAGATATCAGTGTGTCAGGGTCCTGATCCTGTAAAATGTCGTCATGCTGTGCAAGCTATGGCCATGAACATGATTTAATTAATACAGCTGGGGTTAGTGGAGGTAATTGACGATTCCTTTGCAGGTTTTCAAAGTTGATTGTACCTAAGAAAATGGGGCCTAGTCCAATAGGCCTGTGATCTGGCTGGCCTGGCCCTAACTGTTTGCAAATTCCTATGTTAAAATACATCTTAACAGTGGTTTTGATTTTTACAGGTGCAAGTGTGATAGATGTGAGTTATGTGAAACTCCAGAGGAAAACATGTGTTGCACAGAAAAGATTCCGATACAGGAAAAAAGTGATGAGTACAACGACAATTTTGGGGGAAACATTAAATGCATTACACAGCATCCAGGTTACATGTCTAACTGTCTAGATGTCTGGGTTCTGCAGAATGTTTATAATCATTTCAAAGTGCAACAATGAGTGAGTGTGTTGAATTAAATAATTAAATATATTTTTACAGATACACTATTAATAATATGGAGCTCTATCCCTATTTGGTGGACAATAGGATATTTGCATACGAAATATCACTCGAAAATATCACACAAAAGGTTCTCATCCATGTATTCACGGCGATGACAAAGAAAATGAACACAACTCATGACGTCATTCCCGGGTTGGTGGCGCTACTGGTAAGATTTGAGTTAAAGGCTGTAGCAGGCGACGTTTTGGGCCCAGAATTTGTTCATTCAAAAGGTTATAAATATAAAACGTGTTTTTTTTTTTATTCATTTCTTTTTTTTATCTTATACATATTTGGAGGTACAAGAATAAATTCTGAGATGAATGTCATACATTTAATTCACATAGTAGTTACTCTTTAAGAGATTGGGACTGAGGCCCAATGTAGGGATCACCCCTGCCTTAGTCCTTAGTTCTCGCCTCAACTAATTTTGCGTGGTCTTTTCTACTCCTTTACTTTTCCTTTTTTTATTCATCCCCTTCTTCTGTAAAGTTATTCTAATCCTTAACTCATTTTTACCCTTATCATAATGCTGTATGACCTTGTTTTGACCTTTAGCTATTCTGGAAATCCACAAACATCGCCTTATTGAATAATAAAAAAAAACTACCTGGGGGCTTCTTTCCCAAGCTTCACCCTATCGCTATATTTTGTATACGCCGCTAATGTTGGCTGAAAAAAAGATCAATGAATAAATAAATATATATTAAGACGCTATTAAGGGACACTTGGGTCTCCCGCTGGTGTTCCCCGATACCTATGCTCACCGGTGCCTATGAGGTTTATATGATCCCCAGTGACTATGATCCCCGGTGCTAATGTTGGCCATTGTCAATAAGAAACCTAATTCCCTGGCGCCTGTGTTCCTCAGTGCCAATGTTCACAAGAAATATAAAATTAATCTTGACATCTGTCGATTTTTGTGGATACAAATTCAAGTTATGCGTGCGTTTTTAGATACAAGTGAATACAGTATATAGTGTATATCTATAGTTAGGATATGGGGGGTCCGAGTCACCTTTTAGGCCTACAGTATGTCCAGGCCTGTTGTGTTATGATTTATTTCTGTCTCTCTTTCTCTCTCTCCGTCTCTCCCTCTGTCTCTCTGCCATCCTCCCTCTTCTTTCTGTCTGTCTCTCACTCATCCTCCCTTTCTCTCTCTCCTTTCTTCACACACACACACACACACACACACACACACACACACACACACACACACACACACACATACACACACACACACACACACACACACACACACACACACACACACACACACACACACACACACACACACACACACACACACACACACACACATACACACACACACACACACACACACACATATATATATATATATATACATACATACACACAAACACACACACACACACACACACACACACACACACACACACACACACACACACACACACACACACACACACACACACACACACATATATATATATGTGTATATATATATATATATATATATATATATATATATATATATATATATATATACACACATATATACACATGCACACACATGTGAATACGTATTATTTTTCATATGCAGGTGCACTTGTGTGCATAAATATAGATAGACAGACAGACAGACAGACAGATAGATAG